GGCGTGGTTACTTACAAAAGTGGCACGAAACATGCTGAAGATGAAGTGTATTAAATTTACGCAGAAAACAGAAAAAAATCCCAAGATCGCCACTATTCTTTCAAGTGAAAATTTGTGCAATTTTGCCTATGCATTCCTGGTGAGCACCAATATGTAACTCCAAATTTGCTGCTCAAAATCAAAACTAAAAAAGTAAACACATTCCCTGCCATATTTAAGATTTGTTCATAACTTGTATTCATAAAGTGTTGTGTAAATGTGATAAAAAGCTGTTGATTCTTACCTCATACAGTGATAGTGAATATTTATTATGCATACAATTTATTATGCATAACCGTGCTTTATTATCCAAGACAAAACGTGAATTATCAATATGAATATAAAACGCAAATAAAAACAAATAAATGTTATCATGCTGTTGCTACAAATGCATACCAAATAAAAGAGGCTACAAATAGTTTGTTAATGTGCTTAAGTTGAATTTTCATGTGGGTTATAATTCTGGTAACTTTTAATTTTTCTTCGAGTTATATTTAACAAGCTAACATAAACTTTGACCTACATTAATTTCTGTAAAAATACTTTTACCCAGGTATTGCTTTCAATATCACTTTTTTCATTTTCAGTTTCACTAATGGTTACAAAATTGAAGTATGGATAGTTTCGTTATCATGGCCTCCTTACCATTTGACTGTCGATTGTCACCGCTGGACAGCCCCAGGGCGCTTATGTTTTTATGCACCTCTAATGGGCAGCATTTTTCACAGCCCCGTTTTGTTCAGCGGGGATGTCGGCGCTGTTGGATAGTCTGCATTGGTGCGGCTGGATGGATAGCTTGTGGGGCCGAGGTGAGGAGAGAGGAGCGTCGGCGCGGAACGCGAATGCGTATTTGGAACTCAGAGTCGCCGCTTGGAATTGAAGCGGATTTACATGGGACAGGAGAAGTGAGCCAATCTCTTTTTTTCATCGATAGAAGCTACAGCTTCTTGTTTGCTTTCAAACTTAGCTCGTAGCAGACATGTGCACATTTTCTGCATGACGTACGTCTCTGATCCACTGGTGAAAGGACACTTTGATTCTCTCCTCTTTCATTGAGAACTGCTTCAAACAACAAATCGTATGCAGGAAAAGTGGTTAAGATTGCATGACTGTCCGTTGTTGTGTTATATTATTTTCTTATTTTATGTTAACTGTTTATGTTAACAAACCTACCTTGGGACGACGGCTGATAACTAGCATTTATGCTAAATCCGGCACACTTACACTGTTTATTGTTGTGTTGATTAATGTGCACTGTCCCAATGAAAATAAACGAATAAATAAATACATACATAAATGAATGAATGAATGAATGAATGAATGAATGAATAAAACTGTAGTTGTCTGTCTCTATATGTGCCCTCTGACTGACTGACTGGCAACCATTCCAGGGTGTAGTCCTCCTTTCACCCAATATCTGCTTTGATAAGCTCCAGCTCCATGCCACCTTGAACAGGATAAGCAGTATACACAATTGATGGATGGATGGACACCAAGAGCCCTCACAATAGTGGAGTCATGGTATGCACGTTTACCTCACACTTCTGTAGTTCAGGGTCAAATCTTGGCTGCCACTTTTGTATGGTGAGTTTGCATGCTTAAGTTTGTTTTCTCCGAGTAGTTCAGGGTTCCTCTCACACTCCAAAAACATGCGTGTTAGTACAATGAAGACTCTATGTGAGTGTGAATGGTGTTTTTGTGTGCCCTGCAATTGAACCGCACCAGTACAGGGTGTACACAGTCACACACCAAAGTCAGCTGGGATAAGCTCCAGCTCAGCTGTGAGACTGATGGGGATAAGCAATATAAAAAATGGATGGCTGGATCATAAAAAACAGTAAAACATATATAAAATTTGATAGTTAATGGCCAAGAATAAAAATAAAATAAAATTCAAAAAAGGTGCTACAATCATCTTTCTGGTTTAGATTGTGATAATGATCAAGTTTGATGATTGGGCATCCATTTTGTGGAAGCTAAAATCTCAATTGTGTAAGAAAACTGAAGTATACACAGATAAGAACACTGTATGCACAGTGAATCGTAGGACTCTTTTTTTGTCAGGATGTGAATTTGCATCCGGTGCAGTTTCTTGCTTCTGCACAGGGCCCGAAATCAGAAGAGCATCAAGGTATTCTGGAGAGAGGCTCAGTCGCCAGGTGCAGGCCATGATTCCTTTATTCTAATAGATTAAAGCTCTGCAGAACAGGGGTCAGCAACATTTAACACTCAAGGAGTCATTCCGACCGTCTACCACAGAAAAAAAACAAAAACAGAAGGATTGAAAAGTGTAGATAACACTGCTAACAGTCTATCTTTTTTCCATTTATGTATTAAAGTTATTTTGTGGTTGCAATTATTAATTCACTAAATTGTGACAGAAAATACAAATGTTAATTTCTGCATGTAAAAAAAGAAACTCGAGCCAATTAATATATCTTTTTTTTACCTGGTAGTTTTTGCTCTTGAACCTCAGCACACAGCATCGGCACGTCAGCGCTGTGAAATGTCACCTTCATCTTGGCACACGAGTGTAAGCCATCATGGGTGAGGTTACGTGAGAGTGGTTTTTACAATAGTTCAAGTAGCACATGGCATTAAACATTCTTTTGAAACCTTTCTTTTCTTGGATTTATCTGTGGTTTTGCTACTGGGATCGAATGGATAAATCAAGCCAAATTACACTCATAAGCTGTTGTGTTGCATATTTTGAGTAACCAAAAAAACAAAACAAAACCTTGATATCTTGATATTATAAGGTGCCACATGAAGCTCTGGAGCCGCAGCTTGCAAACGCCGCCCTAGAACATGAAGCTAAAAATACCCAACAATGACTAACAGACTATTGTGAAGTGGCATTTAATGCGCCCTGATCTAAATCTGATTCAACATCTGTGGAGGGATTTGAAAGATGCAGTCAGGAGATGGCACACTTAAAGCCGCTGAGATAGCTGCAGCGTTTTTCTCACCACGAGGAGCAGTACAAAGTACCTGCCAAACATTCTCATTCGGTTACAACAAGCATGAGGGATAGACCAGAGTCGTTCATTTATTTTCTTTCGGACCACACACACACAAAAAAATGCTTGACAGAGGAGACGACAATATTGTCGCTTGTAAATATATGATTGCCATGTAACTAATCAAGCAGTATGTGCGTGCGTGCTGAAAATGATCATCAGTGTGTTTGACTGCCATCAGTCTGAGTCACTCGGTCCCAGCGTCAGCGAGACAGCTTTTAGTTGGCTCACATCACAGTCGAGCAAACAGACGCCGAGCTGAGCGGCAGCGCGAGGCGTGCAACGAGCTCTTTTAAACGTGCCTTCAGTGGCTCACGTGCGCGTCATCTTGCACGCAATGTTTTGACTCAGTTCCTTGCCCACTCAGGAGACACGCATGCGGCCCACAGGACTAATTATCGCACGCCTTTTGAGACAGTCGATGAAATGTGTTGACACTGTACCGGTGCTTTGATCAAGATGCGTCAAACACTCACCGGTGTGAGGGACCGACCCTCTGGGGAACGCGCATACATAGTGAGAATAAAATGTGTTCTGCTCTATCCAGGTCTCAGTTTTGCTTTCACTCTCGGTGCATCCCGCAATGTGACTAACTTTTCATCTTGCTGTGTTTGCTGGGAGTTCTCTTTGAACTGTTCATTGTGTAAGCATATTACTGAGCTGTTACGGTGTGGGTGTTGTGGTGAGAAGCTCAGTGGGGGGGAGCGGGGGCGGCACATTTGTGGGTGGTGATTTGGTTTAAAAAAAACAAAACAAAAAAAAAACCTTTGGAAAGAACTTAAGTGGTGCAGTTAATGGAACAGTAAAACTCCAGCTCTTTGTCTTGCGTTTCAACGCTGTGCTGACTGGCGAGTTGTATCAATGAGATAAATCGTGCGACATCTTAAGGGGGGAGTGGGGGTGGCACATTTGTGGGTGGTGATTTGGTTAAAAAAAAAAAAAAAAACCTTTGGTAAGAACTTAAGCGGTGCAGTTAATGGAAGAGTAAACCTCCAGCTCTTTGTCTTGCGTTTCAACGCTGTGTTGACTGGAGAGTTGTATCAATGAGATAAATCGTGCGACATCTTATACACGGTACGACCTGCAAATGAATTCATCAGAGCAAAGAACTGATCAACAACGCAGTGAAGGGTGACAGTGGAGGTCACTGGAGAACATCAAGTATTTTGCAGTGCTGCCATGACAGACCTCTTAATTTTTGATTGCGTTCTAACAAGACACCCTCAATCAATGACTGTATCCATCCATATCCACTGGTGCCCTTCAAAAGTGTGAGAACGGAAAGAAAAGTTACAGCATACCACATAGTTCAGCTGCTACTGTTTTTGAGCAGTAGCTTTTTGTAGGCAAGGGGCAAGAACGCAACCTCAAAGCCGCATTGCCATGAATTACACGGCGCGTCCTCTCTGTGATGTAAGAACTTAACCAAGACAGTGCTTAGCCTGAAATACCAGCACACGTTTCACGGCGTTTCAATGGAATGTTATGATGGACGTGCTAAGATTGAGTTGTTGTGACTGAGTTTGGCGAATTTAAGACTTGCTTGAACCAAGTCATAACTTGATTCAACTTTCTGGAAATTTGGTGGTGAGTCGACTTAACTCGCTTGATTGATTTATTTTCTTCCCCACAGTAACTTGGAGCTTGTTTGAGACCTGAAGGTTATGAATTGAGACTTACATATATGTGACTTAATCCCACCTCTGCTTTTCATCAGTGCTTTACCACACAGAGACATGATGTGAGCAATTTCTCCATTGGATTTTATTCCCAAAAAAAAAAGGAAAAAAAAAGAGGCAGTCAAGAGAAGTAAGACAAGCCCGTCACGATCAACAAAACAACTATCCCAGAGGGAAGACAAATAAAAGCAGATAAGGACAGAAGGCCTGATGATATATACAACAGCAGACATCTTTTTTGGTGTTGCAGTACCGGTCTTGATATTCACCATCACATCAGGTTAAAAAATAAATTGTCTCAATGGGGCAGAGAAGGTTCTAAAGGTCAGCTAAGGCACACAGAGCCTCCCCAGAAACAAACAAACATAACAACAGAAATGACACAAAATGATGAAGGGAGTTCAGAGAAATTTGTGCAACTGTTGCTCGACAATACATTCAAGCAAGAAAAAGAACAATCTGGCATTAGATTTTCTCTGAGAAGCAAACAGGCCCCAACAGTGGAGCAGGTTATTTACTTTAATCAATAAACACCAACATCAACAAATCACTCTCTTTGCTCAATGTCAAAAACTCCTTATTGATCAGTGTCATTGAAACACATATGTATTTACACATACAGCATCTTTTTACGCAATAGTTTAGTACAAAATACATATCTACATTTGCTTCATTGTTGATCATTTGTGTTACAAAATAGGGCTCTTACAGTGAGTTACACCGATTGTAATTCTCCTTTCACGAAAACTGCCATTAAATTTACATCCAGAAGTGTGGCCAACGCAATGCAATAAGTGGCGGTTGTGACAGTGGCAATAGGAGCCAACCAATTGTTCGGCATAAGTCAACCCCTCCGGTGTTGCCGTGTGAGGGAGGGATGTGTGATTTTATGCTAAGGGTGAGGTGACCTTGACATTAATGAACAGTACTATAAATGAACCTTTGAGAGAGGAAAAAAACAAAACAAAAAACGCTTGCCTGTCTGGTCATTGTCGACAGACAGATTGAAATTGAATTGGCTCTGGGTAATTTCGATTCATAATAAGAGAACAGAAGCCCGATGTGTTAAGATGGAACTTCTCTCGGTGATGAACTTATCGGCGATAGTCTTAATGACAGCTAAAAATCATTTTCATGTCGATACAGTTTGAAAGCTTCAGCTCTAAATTTGTATTTTTGCAACGAGGACATAGCATAACACTTTACATCATTGAAACTGTACATAATTGTCACAGCATGAAGACCACAACCACTCACAGGCATTCGGAAACTCACAGCAAGCAGTCGACGCGGAATAGCTTCTCCTCACAACGAATCGTCCAAATGTTTGTGGTCGCCATCTCTGTTTTGATAAGGTCACTACGGAGGTGACCTTTAACCTCTCAGGTTAAGAGTTGCTTTCTCTTGGAAAACCAAGACAAGAAGATCTATTCTGACACGACAAAACACTAACTGACACGAAGGTGAGAGCCATAAAAAGATACAGTATACGTTTGGGTTGGTGGCCTTTGTAAATAAAGGCAGCTTTTTTTTTCTTTTTTTTTCTTACAAACCAATCAAAACAACAAAAAAAAAACAAACAAACAAACAACTATTCATGCTGCCAAGGCAGCGTTGCAATTATTTAGTCATTGACTAAAAATATCAGTATTAATATAAACTTAAATATCGACTCATGGACCATCATTCACACAATTTTGAGACTTTTTTTTTTGTTGTAAAATTCTGTACACCATAAACTGTCACTGAAATGATCTGGACAAAAACACACAAAAAGATGATGAAATTTAAGGTCAGCTTTGAATCATTATGTTTCAAGTTTGAGGCAGGCTGGTAAGAAAAGCGAGCTGGACATAAATGATTTGTCCTGTTACTCAAAACATCTGGTGTTTCTTAAAGAAAAATGCTACCACATATTTAACAAATGCTGAACCCCGAATTGTCTGAGTTTAATTTTTGTTCTAACACTTTAAATCAGGGATCCCCCAAACGTTTTCCTGTGAGGGCCAAATAACTTTTCCCTTCTCTGACAGGGGCCGGGTTCGGTTTGTAACAAAAAGTGTGACTATCGCAGGAGGTGTCTAGACATCAACATTTATTGTTTTCCAAAAAGCCGCACATAAGCACATACTCACCTTTTTTGGGGGCTCTTGACAGGCACAATTTATGAAATAAATAACAACCAATCATTTTTTTCTCTTACCTAATCTTTTTGCCATTAGTCCATTTTTTATTTATTTTTTATTTGACAGGGGTGCATTGCGGATTGTATTTATTTATTTATTTATTTATTTATTTTTGAGGGAGGAGTTTTGGATAGGGCACAGACTGCAGAAGGGTGTAATCGAATGTTACGTTATATGCATCTACAAGTCTCGATCACCTGGCCAGACTTGAAAACACCAACAACAACGACAACAACAACAATAAAAAGCATCTCTGGTAATGTTCAGTGGGGCGGACAAAATGCAGAGGCGGGCCACATTCGCCCGCGGGCCGGAGTTTGGGGACCATGCTTCAGATTGAGCTGAGAATGGCTTTGCGTTTGCATTTTTCTCCATGTTTCTGTCTGCAGCAAATGGCCTCGCTGCCCACCGCAGTCCGCGATCATACACTCAACTGAAACAAGTTGTGTGATGGATTTACTCTACTGATTATAGTTTACAGTAATTGGCTTCTTCAAGAGATAACATGTTTCTAACTCCCTTACAGGCAGTGAATATTGGTTCTTCTTGGGGTCATATCAAAATAAACCTTTCGCTACTTCAGATAGGGTGTTGTTTATGCTGACATAAACCTTGGGAGGCACATAAATTAATCTGGTACCAGGCGTCCTGCTTACGAGTCGCGCAGCTAAGGCCTTTTGTGGAGCACAATGCCACATTAGCTGCTGTGCCCCACGCTGGAAAATTGAAATTCAGAATTCATTGAGCAGCAAAATAAATGCTTGAAATTGCAAGATTTGATCACAGTAAAAGTCACAAATAAATACACTGTGAAACGGAAATAGCACAGGACAGCATAGTTCCATAAAAGCAGGGTGGATGACACTAACATTGATCACCTTCTTATGTTCCCTTCGTCTCCCGAGACAGAAGGAAAACATTTTCCGCCTCCAGCAACTGCAATCAAGCCCGTAAATAAGTTAAAAAAAAAAATCAACAGTGAATCTTGCAGCCTCCTGTCCAGCTGGAGGCCTCGCTGCTACCTGATGCGCCCATCAGCACGCGGCGATCTCATTTGGGATTTGGGGTCAGGGCTTAAAGAGCTCCAAGGGTTCTTGGAGCAGGCCTGCATGACCGGGCAGGCAGTCGGGCCCACGGCACAGATGTCTGCTGCCTCCCACAGCTCACCCACAAGGCTGTCGACCCAGTGTTCCAGCTCCGGGCCGGTCAGGGCAGCGTTCCTCTTGGCCTGTTCCACGTAGCCCAGGCTGATGGGGATGTTGAGCACTGGGTTGAGGCCGTGAAAACTCTGCTCCATGTAGCTGTTCTTGGATGGCCCATTGTGAAGCTTTAGAGTGTCCTCTGGAGAAACACAGCAGAGAACAAAGAAAAGGTAGACAGACGATAAAGTGAGTGATCAGTGATTTGATTTTATGGGCAAAAAGAAAGCAAAAGAAAACATATTGAAATATTAACGCGTAGAAAGAGATTTGCTTTACGTTCCCCTGAATGTGCTGCCCAATTAGCTTGCATTTATTTTGTTGCCCTTGATTAAAATCTTCGTTATCTTATTTAAGACAGACAATGGCCGCCTCGTGATTCTTCTCATGACAATTGAGTCCTTCAAAGGTCAGAGACACAATTTCTCCTTAAATCACCTTCCCAACCCTGTGCTCCAGTCAAGCTGTAAATTTCTCACTGGTTCTCTAACTGGGGTTGTGGAACACAAACTCTCTAACACCCGCATGTGAGCAGACATCACCGCATTTCATGTGTTGGTGACACATACACAAAAAAAGCAGTCAGACATGGAGGTGCTCCATCTGATGAGATGCCCAACGCTATGACAGGAGCAGAGTTTGTTCCCGAGGCATGCGCTTGTGACTTCATGTCGTTGTGTGTGTACTCGGGCATTGACGTGAGTTCTTTTTTTCACGGGTGACTAAATCACACGCAGCAGCCGTGTGTGTGTGTGTGTGTGTGTGTGTGTGTGTGTGTGTGTGTGTGTGTGTGTGTGTGTGTGTGTGTGTGTGTGTGTGTGTGTGTGTGTGTGTGTGCATGCTGCCGCAAGTGCAGGTAGAGGGTCACGTTGTTTATTTTTACTGGCACTGCATGTAAGAGGATGCCAGAAATGGTAGTAAATAACCAGCATGCGGAATGAGGGGCTCAGAAGCACAAACCTCAAAGCTGCTTCAAAACACAAAATGGTCCAAATTGCAAAATCAAAATACATGCCCACAGCATTCCAACCTCATCTTACCTTTTCATCAGGAAGTTCACAAAAAGCAGATACATATTGAAAGTCTCAAAGTGCCAAGAGGATAATGAGGTTTAAGCCCTAATTGTGTATATGACTTCCTCCTAATCATATCAACCAACCGCCGAGCTTTTCCTGTCATAATCCCAACTAGGGCCGAACGATTTATTGCATTTGCAATATAAACGCGGTTTGATAAAATGCGATTTGGTAATCTCAAAGGTTGCAATTTGACTGGTCATTGGGAGCGCAGTGGAGGACAGCGGAGTCGTTCAGAGCAGGCTGGGACAACAACTCAGTATTGAAAGCCTGCCGTGCTAGGTTCATGTAATTTTCGGTGAGGTTTTTGTCCTTGAGAGCTTGAGGTGAGTATCCAACATGTTTGAGCTTTTACACCTTGTGAGGTTAAAGAAAAACAAACAATCAAACAAAAAAAAACCCAACTCACCGTATGTGTTGTTTATTTTGTATTGTTTCAGCTGTCATTGTATTTTGGAGTGCATGGCACTGAAGGTGATAAAATAGTAAATGTCTGTGCGAATAGACCTGTCGTATGTGAGCCACCTTAATCTTAGTATCCTATACAGTGTAATAGATATTATATTATTTGTTGCAAGAAAGATGATTTCAATACATGAGAATAGGACCTTGAAAAAATAACCGCATAGTGAATCACAAATGCAATTTTGAGGGAAAAAAAAAAATCACAATTTGATGATTTTCCAAAATTGCTCAGACCGTGGCCCAACATTTAAAGTCACAACTTTTCATTTTAGCCTGTGTGCTTTCCTCTTGTTTCTGTCTATGACTCCGCTTTCCATCTCTACTCTGGCATCATTTTAATTTCAACCAGCTCATGATAGGATGGCGGTCTCTACTGATCCGGTGTTAAGCGCTCATTAATGTTTGACAAAGTTTCAAGCCGGATTCCCTTCCTGACGCAACCCTCTGCCCTTATCCGGGCTTGGGACTGGCCTCCAATTTGCACTGGCTTGTTTCCCCCATAAGGCAGCAAACCCGAAGCATTTTACAAGAAGAGGTCAAAAAGTTGCCATCAGTGCATGCTTAATCGTCATCAACTCCACTTAATTGCACAATCCATCAATCCATCTAATGTTCTTCATAAGCACTTCACGAGATTTAAAGGCTGGTTTCATAAAAATATCCTTTGCTGCTTCTTATCCACCCCTATTTAATGAAATGATGCCGCGTGACTGTCAAAAGGAATTTCATTGCTCTGTATTTCTGTGCATGTGCAACGACAATACATTTTCATTTCACTTCATTTCATTTTCAAATGTTTAAAAGGCTCTCTCACCTTGCCGTACAGGCTGGTGCTTATCGTAGGCCAAAGGGGCGATAAGGAAGCGCATCTCAGCCACTGGGCTCCAGTGGTGCAGGATGCGGACACTCCAAACACCAGGACGCAGAGGCTGGTTGAGTGGTGGTCGGTAGTGGGTGAACTCAGCGGTCGCGTCGATAAGAATGTCATAGGTGGCCGCGATGACGTTTGTTGGGTCGATCCACACCACCGTTACGGTAACGTTAGGCCCTTTAGCCCACTTCTGCATCCCCACTGTCTCATCCATGGGGCCCATCAGGCCGCCAAAGTTACGGAAAATTCGTTCTTTGGCGTCCCACTCTGTACCGATCTGATAAAAAAAGAAAAAGAAAAAAGGAGAGACAACTGTAAGCGATGAGGATGTATGAATTTCCTCCAGTGAACAGAAGGCAGTAACAGACTGCATCACCATTTCTCCATATTATTAAGATAAGCAACACCCGGGCGGAATTCTCATGGGAAATAATCTTCAACATGTATTTTTCATCAAACAGCCCAAGCCTGCACACAGCAGTTATACAGACTGTAGTACACAGATGCCGACAAGTTGATTGTTTTTTTTTTTTTGTTTGTCTTGTTCTGGAATCTATTTGTCCACAGTTGCTGGGAGGAATGCATAAAAATTTACCAAACTTCCACACCATGTCTTTGACTACATACAGAGAGACAGGATGGAAAGCAGTGACGGAAACAAAAAGCAAAATTACAAAACGACATCATAAGGAAAAATCAAACATATGGGAGGAGTACGTTTCATATTTATTGACACACTGATGACAGGTTGTCTTTGGCACCAATCGGGATGAACTACATTCTCTGGGTTTAATAAATGCAGCAACAATAACTCTCAGTGACGAGTGAGGAAAATATCTCCTCTGTTTGGAGATAGCTGGCTGCACTTATCACATTGGAACGTGTGCCGGATTACAACACCTTTCTGAAAGCAAAATGAGATGCGGAAAATCACAATTGATACGGGAGAGTTAAAAGGATGATGGAGATGGAGGTGCCAGCTACAAAAATGCGTGCGCGCGCGTGCGCGCGCGCACACACACACACACACACACACGCACGCACTGAAAGGTGTTGGCCGAAATGTGAGAAGGATGGCGGCTTTAAGGAGCGCTCATCCTGACAATAGTAGCTGATTAACACAGCCTCACCTTACTAGACGATCAATGTCTGACTGGAATGGACTCTGTATTACATCCTTTGAGAGTTGGCAATAGGTTGTACATAATAAATATAGACCACTAAAGTAAATGAGAGTGAATCCTGTGTCTTGCGCAAAAGACTGTTGTCTCAATTATTTGAGTGACCTTTGCCATTCCTGGCCCTTGGACCATTGTTCTCTGCTCTTTAAATTGCTAATCAACCCACGTCGGGCACCTCTGTAGCTCATTAGTTTATCCAAGGCTGACTCACTTGCACTCTACATCGCAATTGATTGGCTAAAAGAACATGTTGTGGAGGTGGGGGGACGGAAAAATTGCCATCGGGTAATCAATGCAATCTACTAAGAAATAGTATTTGTCCTTGTTTCCACCAAGGAGCAAAGTTATTACAGTATACATTTCATACCATTTTCCCCAAAAGTCCCATATTTGACCCATGTGATCCAACTCTTTGTCACACTTTGGCATTGGTGCACAGATTGCCATCGGTCAGTACAATTCACTTGTGCAAGGTGGCGCTAGACATCCTTCTGCCTGATTATTGGTTTTGAACAATAGAAAAATGTCACATTTGTGTTTCACTGGAATATATGAATAAAATGGAAAGAAAAACGACATGGACAAATACATTACCATGCTGCGTCATTTGTTTAGAGCAGGGGTATCAAACTCATTTCACATTGTGGGCCACATACGGCCTCGGTAGATGTCAAGTGGGCCGGATAATTAAAATTATACCATACTCTGCTATAAATAACCAAAATAATATGTCTTTCCTTTGTTTTGGTCTAAAGAAGCACAAGAACATTAGGAAAATGTTGAAATTGAATGAACATATCGTTTACAAAACATTTCATGAAGCACTTTAGATTTCCTTAGAGTAAGTACAGTAAATGTGCAATTTACTTTTATCATTCACATATGCATTGCAACTGATCCCACTGATTGTACCAAGGCCCAACACTGAAACAAGCAATTGGTATTGAAAAATATAGTAATGCATTTTAAGATTCAACGAGATTTATAAAGAAAGGAATTTTTAAACCATTTAACATGTGCATATAAAATCTAAATTTAATCCCTACCTACACTTTACAAACTAAGGAGAGTGATATTAAATGTGTAAAGAATAAAGTATTCACATGTCCTTGATAGCGTCTGCTGTGTTGGGTCCGTCTCAGTGACAGATTGAGACTGCTGTTGTCTTCTTCTCTGATCAAAATAGTGTGTCCCCTAGCTAGCGGATACTCCACGAATTGCACCTTATTAAAAATATTAATTCTGTGTCTTTTAGGTATTGTTTCACTTTTAAATGATCCTGCGGGCCTGATCAAACCTCCTTGGGGTCTAATTCCGGCCCGCGGGACGTATGTTTTGACACCCCTGGTTTAGAGATAATGTCAGCATGTAAACGTGCTCTGCATGGTGTTCTTATTCTTTGTTTCCTTCATTGGCAAGTAGACATTGTTTCACAGCTACAGTATGAGTCACACTGCATTGATGACACAGAAACTGGCATTCTGCCTGCGCACCCCACGCTGGTAATGCAGCACAACCTTAACGGGGTTGACTGATTCGAACAGTATCATGGCAAATGCAAATGAATTGGAACCTTGGTGAAAACATGGTATTACAGTTACAGCACATGAAGGAATTCTGTTTGGTTGTGGTTGTTTCCATAATTCCGTTTCTGAAGTGCACTCAGACACAGCAATGGAAGAAAACAAGCAATAACCATTAAGGAATGAAAACATGTTTCCCCAGTATAGTAACTTTCCCATTCCGGTCAATTGACTTTGGGACACACTTGAGGATGAACATGAGCCGAACCATTGATTTTCTCCCCCGAATAATGTAGGTTTGGTTAAAATTTTCACAGGGCTCCATGGCGACACAGTCATGGAGGTACCATATGTGGAAGTAGGACAGCAGGCCACCAGAACCAAGGAACTCTTCCTTCAGAATGAAAATGGGTCAAAGACAGATTAACTCCTGGCCCATTGCAGCTTCAGCCGATAGCTTACATTGACCTCCCCACACAACCTGTCCCTTGGTGCCTATAACCCAATAAGCTTGGGCTTAGGACCAACGTTCATTTGCTCATCCCGTCAGACGTCTTGTTGCGCTGATCGTTATACTTAGAAGAAGTTGCCTCTGCTCCACTAATTCTGATCCTGTAACCTCATCTTAAACTGTGGTCCTCTTTTCACTTTCTCTATTTCAATGTAACATCACCTTAGCCCTAGATTGCTGTGGAATTACTGAACGAGATCCTTTACAACTACACGCCTGCTTGTAAGTTACTTTTTGTTGCACTACCTTTTTTGTACGTTTTAATTTTCTTCCCGTTACATTATGAACTGTACGTTTCATCGTTCACATTATATAGAACCAGAGCCTAGCTACGTTCCCGACTCTCTATCATGGGAAACCACAAAGCTCCGATGAAAAAGTGAAATTCTGTCTCACTGATTCTCTATGACTGTGCGAACCTTTCCTCTTTGTCACTGGTTTGCTGGCGCCCACAGTATGACACATCCACTAATTAAGGCAGGTCAATTTGATCAGGCAGCATCTTGGACAGTCACAGTCGGCATCTGGCCCTGTTTAAAACCTCAGGGCACGCATGCCTCCAGGGCCCTATTTGGACTCTTATTAGTGGCCCTGCTTTGTGGATGTAATCAAACACAGGTGTTCTCCGTGGCGTCAGAGGATTCCCCTGAGGCGGAGGTTACACTACTGAAGCAGCGAAGCTAGGATAGATGGACGCTGGCTACCAATGATTCAATGTGGAGTAATAAATCAAGGAAACATGCTGAAGAGCAGAGACGCTGCTCTCTGCAGTAGCCGGCGCATCACAAAAAGTGTCACTTCTCACAGCGTGTGTGGAATTTAGTGTGACAAACAAATGGCCACAAGCTTTTCCGCTCCTCTGTAGCTCATTAAGAAAAAGGAAGCAAGCAGTGAAATGTAGAAACATTTCGCTTATAAAGTTGGCAGTCAGGACAGACCGACTATACCAGTGGTTCTTAACCTGGGTTCGATCGAACCCCAGGGGTTTGGTGAGTTGGTCTCAGGGGTTCGATGGAGCCTATGCCATGTAGGGTAAGACACACGCGACTCAACATGTTAATGAGTTGGAGCCTCTGCCATGTAGGGTAAGACACGCGACTCAACATGTTAATGAGTTATGACACGCCCGCTTGGCCATCACTGGCTGCAGATGATCACATTACATTGCCTGTCCAATCAGTGCTGTGGGAAATTTAGTTTGCTTATTAGTCAACGTGTGAGTGTGACTGTCGTGATAGTACGTCGAACAATTAAAAAAAAAAAAAAAAAAAAAAACTACGTCGAACAATTTAAAAAAAAAAAAAAAAAAAGAAAAGAATATACTTATCTCTTGAAATTGTATTTACTTTGATCTGTTTTTAATAAATGCGTTTTTTTTAAAAATCTTGAATTTGTTAAAAATATCTACATTTATTTTTCACTCATGAAGGGTTCGGTGAAGGTGCATATTAACTGGTTGGGTTCGGTACCTCTAAAAAAGTTTAGAACCACTGGACTATACACACTATACACGGCAGCTATGCTCACACTGCAGGTAACTTCCCAATTTTTTTCTATATGACGTATCTTAATTTTTCGTGTCAGTGTGAACAGTACAATTCAGATTTTCTCAAATCTGACCTATCTATGGTATGTGGATATAAACAGGATATGTATCAGACGTCACAAATTTTCAGACGGCGTGACGAGCAATCACAGACAAAGGAGCAGAAAAATGTCAGTGACGAAAAGAAGATCATTTAAAATTGGAAAAATATATTATATATAGGGACCGGTCAGTACAAATTCCTTGAAAGTGCTAGAAATGCTACAGAGGGGTCATATTTACAGCCATAAGCGCCCTGTGCCACGTGACATTGTCTTTGCTGCACATTAGTGTCACTTTCACACTTTGCATTCGCATTATAAGTCACATTAATTTTGTAATGTGAACGACTACATAAATTAATCTAACAAAACAACCAAATCGGGCATCATACTCCGCTGAGGGAACATAGCCTGAGTGCAAAGCCTGATTCAATATACCCAGCTGCAACCACAGTTGGCTTAACTGCATCGTCAAAGAGGAGGAAAGAGCGACAGCTTAGCTAATGTAACTCATTTGAACAACTTGGCTTTAGTCTAACGAGTGTTAATTATTTTGTGGCAAACAAACTAGTGTCCCACTGGTTGCGTTGCACAATGTAATTTAACAATGTTGTTGTTTGCACATGAGTGGAGTCAAGCACTCATCCACTAACCGTGTATAGTTGCAGTGACTCATTATACAATGAATTAGGACACACACTTTTCAATAATGAATATCTAACATACTGTGTGTGCATGTATGTGTGTTGTGTTTGTGTATATATATATATATATATATATATATATATATACACACATATATATATACTCATTCTCTCTCCTTTATATATCAAGTTTCTCATACACACACACATATACACACACACACACACACGGTATATATGAGGCAAACAAGAATTGACATCTATGTATAGTGTCGTTTTTGGTAGTTTTGAATTGTTGGTAAGACGGAGTACCCATAAAAACCCACATTAATCTGGGGAAACCTCACACAGGAGTCCACTTTATTAAATGGTTTCATCTAATTGTTGATACACTAAAATATTTTCATGTCCAAGTGTGTACAAGGTTGAGGGGAATTTTATTGCATGCCATCTTCTATTAAAATGTAGAATACCATGCTTACTCAGCCGACGCTTCATTTCCAAAGAACACTGTCTTTCTGAAGGTAAATTAATTCTCAGAGCGTATTAATTTATTGTTGCGGTCGTAGTTTTGGAGTGGCGTGACTCTTCGTGTGAAAACCATATTCAGATTTTCGGGCCAGATGTGTCCAATAGCTAGTCCCTCTCAAGTGGCCCAATGAAGCCAAAAGACTTGAAATGCGTCAGTATGCCACAGTGCAATTTTTAATAACAATAAACATTCAATTACTACCACTTTGACAGTGTAAATCATCTTCTGAAAGGCGGAACGTATGACGTAGCTCTTGTATTACCATTCATTAGATTGTACGGTTGTACCTAATGAAGTGGCCCATGAGGGGTAAGGCATTGGAGTCCAATGACATACCCTTATGGGCCTTTACATTAGTCCAAGAATTGGAGTGATTTATCTAGCGCAAGGCAATAACTTTTGAATGTCATATAAATGTCATGTCATGTAAAACTTGAGATGATACTCTAATTTTAAATGCACGGCCTAAGAACTCCTGCACTACATCACGCTGTAAAATGGAATATAAATTATACAGAGTACAAAAGAAAAGACTTATCTGTCTTGCTTTTCTGTAAAGTGAAGGGGAATCTGGGAACACGTGGCTTATCTAGCAGGTTAAACATATAGCTTTTGTATAAAGGACTCATATCTCTTCCGACTGCCGCAATGCCACGCTGTCTTATTTAAGGTCTTTCCGCTCTCGATTTGTGAGACAGACTGACAAGTAGACTGACTGACAGCCACTGCACCGTGCTAGACGCTGAACGCTCTGTGAGGCTGAGCATCCAGATAAGAGCCACGACTCACATCACTTTGCTGTCACTCACGGTCTCATACGCTCAACACACAAGCGGGGGCTTAGAAAGCGGGAGCTGCATGGCGACTGGGTGTCTGAACTTCCTTTACGCTCCCTTTGAGATGTTTGCAAAAAGGTCAAACAGAGTCTGGGAGTGTCCAGGTAGACACAAGCGACGCCTGCAGGCAGCAACAGACCAAGCCAATTCATTCATACATTTGATGACATTTCAAATGCGACCCATGCTGCGAGCTAAGTGACGAACCAGAGCAAAATGTCAGTTTACATTCACTCATCTAATTTTGGGCATGCTGAAAATATGCTCTATGGCTGTCACGTCAGAGCCCGAGCTGCTGGATCCTTCACTGAAAAAGAAAATCAAGGAGAGGACATTCTATTTAGGATCAGCAATAAATACCACGTGGAACAATCCGGCAAACTTGAATTAATTCAATCAATTTCCATCTTACAATCCATTACCGGTATTTGCGTCATTTTAATGGCATGGTAATCAACTTTAAGGGTTGTCTTGGCAAGGTCACAATAGTGTAAGGTCAACATTACCATCTATTTTCTAAAGCGCTCATCCTTGTAAGGATCAGCGGTCAACATTACACTTCCCTCATTGGTGTGTGTGGTCCTGTTTAGTACTTAGTGCTTTACTGGAACCTTTTTCCTGATATTAGCAAGGGTGATTGGTTTTTTGACTCAAGCGTACCCTAAAAAATGTCAGACAGACTTGATGCAAGGCACACAAGACAATATGCAGACTCACCTCTGCAAACTGTAATCTGCTGAATGTGCTTTTTGGAGGAGTGGTTAACTTGAAGATCTTCTTCGGTGCCACCCAAGTCTCCATTGTCTCGAGCTTGCTTGTTGCTAGGTTGGTGGCATGGTGTCTGACAAGGTAGCCCTGGAACTGGTCAGACTGGAAGTAGTAATGTACGGACACTGGGTGGCCCATGGGGAAATACCTGGCAGAGAATAGAAAGAAGTTATTTACAAAACAATTTCATGTGCTCTTTTAATCTTGTATGCATGCCAAAAAAAAACCTTTGGAACTGCTGATGTATATGCCAACCATTAGACAGTCAATGAACTCTGTGACTGCGTGACATGGCTCACATGAATGAATGCTGTGACCTTGACCTTGAGGGTCACCGATCAAAGGTTTATGTCTCACATGCTAATAGTCACCTTTTATTTAGAATCCGCTGCATATGTATAAGAGACAAAGATATGTGATGGATAACATTTTGACCTGCATCTACTTGAGCTGCATCCAACAATACTAATATTACATTTAGTATTATTAGCAGTAGAGGTAGTTGAGTAGCTCTACTTGAGCTGCATCCAACAATACTAATATTATATTTAGTATTATTAGCAGTAGAGGTAGTTGAGTAGCCCTGCAGATAGTTACAAAGTACACTATACTGCATATGACTGTACTACTGATACATTTATTTGCACCACACTTGCTTTGTGGAATCTGTCTATAATCCACAGCGGCCCTCTAAACTTTCACTTTTCTTCGTCTTTTAGCCGCAGTGAAATTATGGCGAAGCACTTCTGTGATCTTCAAAGTCATAAATCAACTTTTATTTGAATCATTATTCTACATTAGTGACCCGGCTTACAAAATACGTGACAGCTGAGACCACAGAAATACAGAATAGTTGTTCACATTAGTCATTGAAGTGCAAAGTGCACGCACACACATACGCACAGACACACACACACACGCACGCACGCACGCACGCACGCACGCACGCACGCACGCACGCACGCACGCAC